AAAAACTCTTGAGATCAGCTACAACATTTATATAAAATAAGAGAAGATAGATGGACCAGATTTCCACCTTCCTCATTTTGAAAGGCTCCTCAATAATGACCATAAGCAGCAACCCCAGCTGTACCTCACATGGCATATATTTTTCTCATTAGAGACTAGCTACCTCAAACTTTGGGGTTTTTTTTTCCCATTAAGTTTATTGGTACATGTTAGGTATACATTATGATCACATTCATCATTGGGAATTTGTACCTGTACATGATATATCTTGGTTCTTGTTTTTTCCCTATCCCCCTTCCTTCCCTTCCACCTCTCCACTCCTCCCTATTTACAACAACTGTTTCCATTTTTTCCTTCTTTTCTTACATTTTTTTCTTTCCCTCCTTTCCTTTCCCTCACCCTCCCTACTTCCCCTTCCCTTTTGGACTTTTTCTTCCTATTTTACATTATATATTATACATTTTGGTCCTCATTTATACTTGCACTCTCTCACACTAGAGAAACTATTCGGTATTTACACATGTGTGTCCTATTTATTTCACTTAAAGAGCACGGCCTCAATGTGCATCCATTTAGCTATAAATGTCTTTAGTTTCTCATTCTTTATGGCTGAGTAGTACTCCATTTTATATATGTAAAAAACCATATCTTCTTTATCCAGTCACCAGTTGATGGGCAGTTGGGCTGTTTCCAAGATTTAGCTATTAGAGACTTTGCCACTATAAACATGGGTTCGCATATATTGCTGTGGCATGGTGCTTTTAATTCTTTTGGGAAGATTCTGAGCAGAGGAATTCCTGGGTCAAATGGGACCCTTAATCCTAGTGCTTTGAGGAATCTCCACACTGATTTCCACAGTGGTTGCACCAGTCTACACTCCCACCAATAGTGGAGAAGGGTTCCTTTTCCCCAGAAGCCCCTCCAGCATTTGTTATTGGTTGATTTCCTGATAGCAGCCATTCTTTTTGGAATCTGAAGCCAACCATCTGGACTCCCTGAACTGGTAATAAGGGAGGTAATGAAAGAGGGCCTTTAGTGGCCTTCCTCTTCCCTTCTCCTGTCTTCTTTCAACCCTTCTGTGCATCAAATTACTCATCTTTTACCTCCATTTAAACATACCTTCCTCAGGGAGGCATTCCTTACTTTCTAGGCCTGGCTAGATCCTGTGCTATGTGTCTGCATAGATTTTTTTTTTTTATTGTTATTGCATATCTTATTGTTGTGTTTGCTTTTCGTTGTTGGCTTTTCGTTGTTCATACTATTTTCTTCCCATTATATGTTCATCCTTTCTTTCTTAGTAATAATGAGTTCCTAAATTTAGCTGGGAAATTGCCGCATAATGAATAACTAAATTCTTTTTCCCTTACTGCTAAGTGTGGTCTTGTGCCCCAACTTTGTGTTTTAAAACCGCTCAGAAGGAAGAGGATCTAAGGGACAATGCCAAAGCTGAAAGTCCCCAAAGTGACCCAGTTTTTCAGAAATCCCACCCTTGCTCCTTAATAACATTAAATAATAGGTATATGAGTGACCAAAGAAATAAACATTTTTCTTTTCCTATTAAAAAAATAAATCTTTGCTATCCAGAGAAATTTGCTCCGCTGAATGGCAACTGTTTATAGAAGATCAGAAATGGTGAAGCAAATCCAGACACAAGGATATGAAAGATACTGATATTCCCAGACAGTCAGACTCTTCTGTTCCTCGGCATGGGGAGTTCAGAGTGTGATCAAGTTCATCAGAGCGTGATAAGCAATTTCTACTTTTCTGGTCAATACCCACTCACAAAAGTCCAGCAAATCAGCAATGTTTCTACCCATAAAAAAAGAGTTACCTTGAGGCTGTAAGGAAAACTGAAGCTGGTTTTGTGGTATTCCATTAAATACACATGCATACACAGGTGTATTGGTTTGTTTTTGTACTACTCAAAACACAGAGATTAAAAAGGGATATTGTGAACTAGTGTAGGATGAATTTTTACATTTTTATTTAAAAACATCATCTGATCAACTAAAAATTTCTCATGATGGGCATGTAGTCAAAATTGAGAGACCTGCCCATGTGAAGTGTCATTTTCAAAATGGCATTCCAGAAAAGCTTACAAAGGTGTCCTCTGACATGCTTAGGGAACTGAGGTCAGAAGTGGTTTTGTATTCCCAAATGGGAGAAGTTTTAGAAAAAGAAGGTCCTTGTGGACCTTAATGTGAAGGACAACAAGAGGAAAGTAATTTTAGTATCTTTAGAACATGGGAAGGATTTAATAAAACAGAAGAGGCTTTGAAAATGCCAACACTGCAGAGTGTTGACAGCAGTTAAAATGTTTATTCACAATGATGGCTCTCGGCAGAAACAGCAGTCTGAGGGCAAACCAGGGTGGGCATCTAGCCACCTTGGAAGCCGTTGTTTAGATTCAAACATTCTGCAATATGTTAAAGGCTTCCAGTGAAACCTAAAGTGAAGAAATAGGACTGTTTTTACAACATATTTTGTTCCCCCGGTACCGGTGATGGAACTCAGGACCTTGCGCTTGCCAGCAGCAGCAGTGCCACTGAGCTACATCCCTGGCCTTTCCCAACATATTTCTAAGGGTTATGCCTTCTAAACTGTTTTGAGTCCTAGATGTAAATGCGTATGTGGGGACTATATGCCAACTGATAGCCTCACTTTGAAAAAATCTCATTCACTCATTCATTCATTTTTGCAGTGCTGGGGTTAGAACCCATGGCCTCTCACATGTCAGGCAAGTACTGACCACTAAGCTACACTCCCAGTCAAAAGCCATGCTAGAAGCCGTCATATGGCTACACTTACCACACAGCTTCCTAAAATGTCAGAATACACACCATAGTTTTCTACAGAAGTTATCTTTTAGAATGCAGAATTTCCAACTCCAGCTTCCTTTGAGAGCTGATGCTGCTGTCTTAAACTGGCTCATGTTTTCTTGAATGAGGTCTTCTCACCTTTCTACGCTGCTGACCATCACAGCTCTGAGGGCACCCATACAGCACCCTTGTGCAACGTATTTGTCAAGGGAACTTGTTTCATCACCTCTTTCTGAGGAGATAATGACATTCCTAAATAACTGTCCTTTTTAACGAGAAAAAATTTTTTTATTCATAAGGATTTGTAACTATTTCATTACTGCCAGCTGAGGGAGGCCCTTAAAAGTGGTTTCTTGGGCCGGGGATTTAGCTCAGTGGTTTCGCTGCCTGCTTCGCAAGCGCAAGGACCTGAGTTCGATCCCCAGTACCAAAAAAAAAAAAAAAAAGTGATTTCTACCTATGGACTGACAGTGTGGGTGTGTGTGTATTGTAACAATACACAATGAAAAAGAAGTGGTGAGGGACTCCCAGCTCCACAATCTGTCATGTAGAGACATTCATAGGTGAGATTTCCAAAGACAATTTTTCTACCATTGAGGCTGGGAGAGAGGAGTGAGGATGTCCAGGTGGTTAATTCCATCTCTTGGTAGGAGGAGAGTGACTCAAGCCTTTTCCTCCTTTCTCTCCTTGGCTTTACTTAGAACTCAGTATGAGATCCTTCATCTCCTCCCCTAGTATCATTTCTATCTCTTTTATTGACAGAGCAATCCATGCAGGCAGAGTCCAATCCCTAAGAGTGCTTTGGTCAAATAATCTGGGAACTGTTAGCAAAACATATAGAAAAACAATAGTTTCCATTCTTCTAATGAAAATTATAGTTTTTATGGAAGACATATGTTGGTTTCTGGGGGTTTTTTTTGGGTTTCCTTGAAGTTTTGAACATGAAGAACTGCTGCCTGAGATACCTACCTGGTTCAATGCTGGACTCTCGCATCCCAAATGATGGTAAAAAATTCCATACATTTGCTTTTTCCATGCTTTGATATAGCATCACTCATTACAGAGCCAACTAAGGGGTACCATGACCCAGCACCTGTGCTCAGACTAAACCACTTACAGGATGCTAAGGATCCCCAGAATTTCTTTCACTAGGGTTGTAACGTGAAAAACAAATTAAGGGAAGATTATTCAAGGCACAGTACCTGAACATTTGTTTTTCTGTCCCCAAAATATGCTAATGAATATTGACATATAGTTCAACCTAATGAGTAAGAAAGACAGAGGCACACTGCAGTAATGAGATGAGAAGACTTCTTTTTTTATTGCAGTACCGGATGTTGAACTCAGGACCTTGCACTTGTGAGACAGGTGTGGCACCACTGTGCTAACTCCCCCACCTGAGAAGACTTCTAACCAGATCTAGAAGACAGGAAACCCAATGCCCTTTAGTAAGACTCAGTTTACAAGGAGATCATCCTACCCTCATTGGCTCGTTTCAGAATTACTGACACTGAAATAGACACAGAGCTGACCAACAGCATGGGAGAGCATACATGCTTCTTGCTGCTGAAGGTTCTACTGAGGGTGCTTATAAAATATTTAGATATTTACCTTCCTTTGCAGGTGCGTTAGTCACCTGGGATCCAAAAACAAAAGCAAAAGAATATGGCAAGAGTTAAAGCTTTTTGAAATCTTTCTCACCCAAATTTCTGATGGGAGTTTAAACCAAACATGCCTGTGGTTGGATGGATGATTTTTTATTTTCAGTGTTGGTGATGAAGCCAGGATAAGCTCTCTACCACTGAGCTATACCCCTACCCTGAGATGGATATGTTATAAGTAACTCTAAGAAAACCGGTCATTACTTTTATTTTGTTTTACTAAAACATGTTAAAAGGAACCGAGAGTCCAGAAGAGAGTAGGCTATCACAAAAAACATTCTCCCTGGCCCTTAAAATCACTGGTTTGGGTTGTTTACTTGGAAGCTCTGGTATAAGCTAGTTTTCTGTCAGAACAGAAGCAATTTTAGCCACTGAAATCTAAGAGACCTTTTCCCTATGGCACTCAGCAGGAAGAAATAAGAACTCTCTTCTGTTTGAAAAGTTATTGGTCTGAAATAAATGTTATTGCCTTCCAAAAACAAGATAAAAGGCTATGTAGTTCAAGTCAGAAATCCAGATCTGAAGTTTCCAAGGCCCTTTATTAGGGGAAGGCCCCCTTGGTAGCACAAAACTTCACATATGCATTGATAACAATCAGATTTTTTTCCTAAAAATTGGGGAGGGGGGGGACAAAACAGATGTGCTTTTTGTATATAATGAACACAAATTAAAAGAATTTATAAAATGTTCTCCTTTCTTACAGAATAAATGCAGACTAAATTATGAATGCACCTCCAGGTTTGTTTTTGTTTCATTTTCTGATAATAAATAAAATCTGTTCCTAAGCTTGGGATCCACCTGTGTCCCAGCACGACTGAGTCTTCACTGGGTTTTCTTCCCATGGTCACTCCTGTGCGCAGTGTTGGGGTGGACTAGGGTCACCAGTTTCGCAGGCCCGTCGTGTCCAGTATCTTTCCGAGGTGGCATTCGCTCATTAATTCGGTCCAGTCCCCGGGCTTCTTCAAAACTCCGGATCTTGTGCTGGAGTGAAAACCCTCGGATGGCTAAACAGAAATAGGAAAGGGTGTGGAGAGTGCTCAGTTAGGCACAAAGCAGCAGCTCAACCAAGTTCTTCACACACAGCACCCTCCCAGGGAAAACACAGAAAGGGGATGGTAGAGCACATATCTGGTGAAGGGAACAGGCAACATGTAACTCAATCAGCCTTGTCTAAAACTTTCCCTTGCTTCCTTCAAGGGAAAGGGCAGCTGAAACTGAAATTTTCATAAAAGCTCAATAGGACTAATCATTGCAGAAATATAACTGATAAAGAGGAAAGGAGCTCTTAGCCCCAGTTTGAGAAAAGGTGGGCCAGAAATATGCTCAATGCTAGAAAAAAGGGCAACACTATAACAGAACAAATTAAATAGTAAAACTGAGTAGTTGCGCTTTTTTTAAGTGCAGGGGATTGAACCCATGGACTTTGGTTTGAGTTACATCCCCAGTCCACTTTAGTTTTTATTTTGAGACAGGGTCTGTTAAATTGTTAAGTTGCCCAGGTTAGGCTTAAACTTGGGATCCTCCTGCTTCAGTCTCCCAGAGTGCTGGGATTATAGACGTGTGCTACCATGCCTGGCTCAGAGTTGCTGCCTCAGGCACAAACATCACATTGACAACAAAAGAAGAAACAAGCAGCTTTTTGTTTAAAACAGCTTTTTATCTTGCACAAGCAGGAGCTGAACATAATATAAAAACCATCAACACAGCTTCTAGGTATTTTCCTTCTGATTCAACTTGGTCTGAATTTAGACTGTCAAAAGAAGGCATTCCCATTTTCAACTACCTTACCTAATAAAACAAATTTATAACAGGTTTATCAGTTCCAATGGTTTTTCACCCACAAATTTATAAAATCTCTCCATAGAAACAAAGATAATTTAGGTTAATTGTTTTAGGGCAACCTCAAATATGAACCAAATGAAATCCTAGTCTATTTTAGTCTCTGCTCTTAATAACCTGAGAGTCATTACATAAAGAGGTTGCCCTGTCCGACCTTGGTCACTGGATGTCTTTTGTACATGGCGGAGACATGGGGCTAAACCACTCCACCCGGCATCAGCGGTTGCTGAAGCTTCAGTCACAGTGTGCAAACTGACAGGTCCCACCAAGGAGTTTAGCTGTGGTGAAGGTCGTTTAAACCAATAAAGAGTGAACATGCCTAGGAATGTTCATTCCTTTTCTCACTGTTACAGTTCTGGTGATGCAATAACAAGAGATCAGAAATGCTAAGAAACCCTTTCAAAACTAGCAGACAGACACAGGAGCACATCTATCCAAGGACACAGCCATACCTTCCTGGGCCTCTACCGCTTCTACTGTGGCTGAGAGAGGGCAGGAGCAGTGGCATGCAAAATGAAGACAGAGAAGAGTGAGTAAACCAGCAGCTCTGCTGCCAGCACAGACACCCAGGCCCCTCCTGGGTGAATGCCTCCCCCATCGCCGTGAAAGCCCCCTAGTTAGAGAAGCCAGAGATTACTGCGAGGAGCTGGGGTGGGGGGCAAGGCGGGAAAGTTTCTCATATTTTTAGCATTTTAGATGGCACTGGAACACTGCTCTCTCCATTTGAAACAGTCAACTGCTAGTTTATATCTTCATACCACATAATGAAATTACTCGTCAAATACATTTTTTTACAGTTCTAGGGAGTGAACCCCAGGGGCGCTCTACCACTGAGCTACACCTCTAGGGCACCCCTCCCTATCCTTTCTTTCAATTTTGAGACAAGGTCTCCCTGAATTGCTCAGGCTGGCCTTGAACTTGGAACCCTTCTGCCTTAGCCTCCTGAGTAGGTGGGATTACAGGGCTGTGACACTGCAGATAATTTAACAATCGAGTTTGAATTTGCAAAAGCTGGGATGGTATTAATGAGCTGCTGCTGGGTCCTATTACACAAAACTTATTTACTATTGCATATTACTACTCTCAACTGACTTATGTGGGGGCCAACCATCCTTTTAATTACTTACTGAAAGAGTGGCCTTTGAATAACAGACTGGCATTTGGAAAAAGAGAAAAATGCATTGCAAGTGAAGGGCTATTTCTTGTCTGGAGGTGGACTACTAAGCGGCAAAGGCACAGGACTGCTCAGTTCCACTGGAAATGCATGCGCCCACGTGGGCTCAGGACAAGGCAAAGGCTGACCCCAACCTCCCACACGGCTTCCACTCAGGGCAATGGCCGAGGAAGCCCTCCCCGCCCTGCCCCCACCCAGGGATCAAAATGGAAACAATTTAAAAATTAGCCTGAAGAGGGAGACTTCCTTGTACCTTAATTTTTCAGACAGCGAAACCCCTAATATATGAAAAGGTTATAGGTTGTAGCGAGAAAGATTCTGCCAGGAGAACCTCCCCAATCCCTCCAATAGCAATTTTCTTAAAGGTGGGAAGCTCCTATAAGTGAACTCCGTCAATTCTTCCAATCTGAATGTTGTTAGAGGTGGCAGAGAATAACAAGCAGCAAGTCTGCTGTTCTTGAGGCATTACTTATCACTAGGAGAAGAGAGACAGGAAAATCTATGGTGCTAACTTCCTAACGCAATATGAAGTTAGCTACTTACTTTGGTCCTACACCCCCAGCCCTCAGCAACACGTCTTATCTTTTTTATTGTAGCCATCCTAGTGAATGTGAAGTGCTATCTCATTATGATTATGATTTAGCTCTGCATTTCTGGAATGTCTAACAATGTCAAACATCCCTTCATGGGCCACTTTTGTGTCTCCTTTGAAAAAATGTCAATTCAAATTCTTTACCCATATTTAGTTGTGATGTCTTTTTATTTAGTTGTAAGAGTTCTTTATATTTTCTAGGCAAGAGTCCCTTATGAAATATATGATTTGAAAATATTTTCATAATTCTATGGGTTGTCTTATTTTCTTGATAGTTCCACTTGTAGAATAAAATCTTTATTTTATTTATTTATTTTTAGACAGAGTCCTGCTACGTATTTCAGCCCAGCCTTGAACTTGCAGTGATCCTCCTACCTCAGCCTCCCAAGTGCTGGGATGACGGGCACACACCACTACACCTGGCTCTTAGAACTTTTACAAGTTTGAGGCAGTCTGATTTATAATTCATTTTTTAATCACATGGTCTTTGTGAATTTTGTTCTGTTCTTGGCTTTCTTCTCGATTTTGGTGTCAAACTCGTGGCTGGCTGTTGGATTTCCTTTAATACCTTTTATGCTCCAATTTCCAGGCACATTTATTTACTTCACTCTGTTGTACGTATACTGTAACTCATTCAACCTCTCTTGGAAGAAGGTAAGGTGTAAATGGACATAGTTGTAAGGTCATAAGGGCTACTGTTGGTTGAAAGCTCTTCAAGGAAAGTTTTACTAACAATATAACTGAGCTCCAGCTCAGTCCCATTTGCCCACAAGCTTATGGCACTGGGACTCTGATGTGAAAATGACAAACCAAACTCATTTCCTGTCAATCAACGAGAAGCTCTGAAAAGTTGGCAACAACTTTAGTTTTGTTCTTAAACATTCTTGAAGATTTCCAACAGTTTCAGAAGTATCGATAACAAATCCTAAAGTGATCAGGAATGAAGAGAAACTGGGTACACGGGGAACACCCTAAAAGATGACTAATAATTGTTATAAATAAAGAAATCCCCAAATAACACATCTATAAAATTCTTTTTGTTACTTGCCCTTGACTTGTAGATTTGCTGTTTCAAGGTCTAGATTGGCTTAGGTTAAAAGAACTTTGTGGATCAACCAATTTTCAAAACTTCAAGAAAGACTGCTATAGGACATTTCTCTTTCTTCACCCATGTTACTTCCCTTTACATTAAAATGTCCTTGTCAGCGCTGTTCTCAGAACATCTCACATGACTAAGTACCAAATAAAAACAAAGATGGAAAAGCATTTTGCTTAAAAAAAAAAAATCTGCACATTTGAGAGAAAATCTTAATCTGAAACAACAGCTTACGGGGCTTTTCTGTGAAACGAAAGGAATTAAGAAAATGAGCTGGGTGAGGCGGTATATGCCTACAGTCCCAGCTACTCAGAAGGGCAAGATGGGGGACTGCTTGAGCACAGGAGTTCAAGTCCAGCCTGGCCAATGGAGCAACACCCTGGCTCTTAAAAAAAAAAGAAAAGAAAAGAAAGAGAAAAAGAACAAAATTATATACATCCACGGATAAAATGTTCAATCTTCCTTCTAAATAGCTGAAGTCTCACATCTCAGTATTCAATCTGAAAGAAAAGCAGGAATTCAAGCCTATAAAAGAAAAAAATTATTCCTTTCAGTCAACAGGAGTTGAGATTTGTACAAAAGGAAAAGAATTCCTGGGGCTGGGGATTTAGCTCACTGGTGCCAGTGCCTGCCTTGCAAGCACGAGGTCCTGAGTTAGATCCCCGGTACCAAAAAAAAAAAAAATTCCTATAAGTGGCAGAATAGCAAGAGAGGGGGAAAAACACACACACACAAAAACTTCAGGAACAAATCAGTAAAACAAGGGAAACAAAGCAGTGAAACTTCAAGAGATTAATGCCTGAGTTCCAGTTTCCACGCTACAGTGAGTCATTCAAGTGTCATCTCTTGTTTCTGCCCTGTTTGACTAGTTCTATGCACATTCTGACAAACATCAGTCTCTTCATTCCTTAATTCCATAAAGCGCTCTACTCAGAACCCAGTGTTCACATGATATTTACTTGTCTTTGTTTTGAGACAGGGTCTCGCTATATAGTTCAAGCTGGCCTCAAACTCATGGTGATCCTCCTGACTCAGCTTTCTGAGTGTTAGGATTACAGGCATGCACTACCACACCGGATCTCACATAATTTTTAGAATGAATGCTTTGACTGAAGAGGGGACTGTGACACTGGAGGAAAGCATGGCTCAGGCCAGAAGCAAACTCTTGCTGTACTGGAGACAAATCTTCCAGACTGTTTCCTCACTGAGGTATAAAGTATGCACATGAACTGTATCGTGTGCCCAAATCCTACATAACACACATGTCCCCAGACATGATGCAGCACATCCCAAGCTCCAGAGTCTCTGTGCCCCCTGGGTCAATATCCTCCCACCAGAGGAAGTGTCACTCTGACTTCTTGTGCCATTGCTTAGCCTGCTGTTCTTTTTTTTTTTTTTTTTTTTTTTGGTACCGGGGATTGAACTCAGGTCCTTGTGCTTGCAAGGCAGGCTGTGGAACCACTGAGCTAGATCCCCGGCCCTAGCCTGCTGTTCTTAAACATCAGATACATCAGACAGTCCACGGTCTTTCTGGCTTTTATTATTAATTTTTGTGGTGCTGGAAAATGAACCCAAGGCCTACATCCCCAACCCATGTCTGGCTTTATTAGTTGACCATGTCATCTATGAGATTCAACTATTTATTGCATGTATCCATAATAGATTATTTAAAAATTGCTGAATAGTGTGCCATTGTATAAATATAACATGGTTTATCTATTCTACTATCAATGGACATTGGGGTCATTTTCAGTTTGGAGCTATTATAAATAAACCTATGAGAACATTCTTATGCTCATCCTTTGGTGGACATGTGTGCCAATTTCTCTTGGATATATGCCAGGTATATACTGCAAGGTTGTGGGGTAGACACACATTTCGCTTTACTGCCTAATAGTTTGCTGAAGTGGTTGAACCCCTTTTACAAGCCCACCAACATATCTCCAGTTCTAGTTCTCCACAAATGCATCAATATTTGGGCTTGTCAGATTTTATTTGATATTTATTTCATTTAGGTTTTTTGAGAAAGGGTCTTACTACATAGTTCAGATTGGTCTTGAACTCACTTTGTAGTCCAGACTGGCCTTGAACTCAGGGTGATCCTCCTGCCTTAGCCTCCTGAGTGCTAGGATTATAGGCATGTGCCACCATGTGTGGCTTCTTGTCAGATTTTAAATGTCTACTCATTCTAATGGTATGCAGTGACATCTCACTGTGGTTTTAATATCTGTTTCCCAGAAGAATAACTACAGTATCTTTTGATATGCTTACTGGCCATTTTGACATCCTTTTGTGAAGTGCCTGTTAAAATTATTAGATCTTTTAAATCTTTAAGTCTTTATTCTGATTAAATTCTTGGTTAGACATATGTATTTTTAATAAGTTCTGTTTGTGGCTTGCCTTTTCCCTCTCTTAATCATGTATTTTTACAAAAAAAAGTTACTTTAAGACGAGTCTCACTATATTCTTCAGGTTGGTCTTGAACTCACGGGCTCAGGTTACCCTCCCACCTCAGACTCCAGAGTAGCTGACAGCTACCTGCGGCACCACACCCAGCTAAGAGACACTATTTTAATGAAATTCAATTTCCTAATTGTTTTCTTTTATGGTTAGTGTTTTTGTGTCCTACTCAAAGACTCTGCCTACCATAATGCCTAATCTCCATACTTTGTTCTACAAGTCTTATTTTTTTAGCTTTTACATTTAAGTTGTGATCCAGCTAGAATTAGGGATGGTGTACAGAGGGAGGTTAGGGCTCAAGATTCATCTTCCCCAATGGCTATCCATTGCTCCAGCGCCTTTTACTAAAAGCAGCCCTCCTTTCCAATTTTATTTTGGCTGCAAGCATTGAGTGAACAGAGCACCTCATACTCACCAGTCTCAATCGTCTGCTTTCCTCCTGAAAGGACGCCCAGAGGGAGTGTGCCTGTGGGCGTGAGGCCCTTGAGGGTCAGCACACTCTCACTCTCTTCCCTGCAAAGAACACCAGAGCCCTGGTTAACGCCAGGGAGCTCCCACCCAGCCACTCAACAACACACAAAGGAAGGTTAAAAAAAGAGGCATGGACAGGACAGACACCTCTACTTCCAACCAGCCCCTGACTCCGAGAAGAGGTTTTCTACAAATATTCCAATTTTAAACAACCAGGCATTTTTGATTGTCAACCAAGGTATTTATAACTAGGCATTTCCACGTAACAACCTTGTGAGCTAGGTCCTTTTATTATCTCTATTTTACAGATATCGAAATGCAGGCACAGATTAAACCCAAGGGCACACAGCTAAGAGGCACATTCAGTTTGAACACAGGCAAATCTGGCTCTGAAATCTCCACTCAACCACTACATTCCCTAGTATCACACGAATGCTTGCTTGAACATTTTTAGTCACTTTAACACGTGTATCTGTTCAATGTGCCCTCAACTCGAAAGACCTGTGGTTCCAATACCAAATTCCAATTCTAAAGGAACTACTCTAAAATCACCTTCTAATGTGCTTTCAAAGCGCCTCTATCTCACACTGTAATGACAGACTGATCCTTACCGCAGAACTGAAAAGACCCGGGCCATCTTCCCAATGGCTCTGATTTTATTCTTGATGATCTCTTTTCGAACTGAAGTGCCTCCTTAGAGAATACAAATACGTGAGTTAAAAGAATATATAACAGGTTGGCTTTTAAAAAACACAGGATAAAGTGTCTTTTTTGTTATTTTTAAAAGAGAAATTAAGGCCTAAGCTTGTTTAAACAAACAAAAATCCCAGCTAAGAAGCAAGAGAAAAAAAATAGCCCAGAAGAGAAAAAGGTGAAGTAAAGAATGAAGGAGCCACCAAAAAAAAAAAAAAAAAAGACTGAGTGGATCTATGAGGGGTGGGAACGTTTGGTTCTGAAATGTAGAAAATAGTGAAGAATGGAAAACACACACACACACACACACACACACAACCTCACAAAGACAGCTGCTATGGCAAAGACCTCTTTTGAGAATGCAGTGGGCCACCATAGGATGCAGGGTTTGTCTGCCAAAGGGAAGTGGTCACTTGAGCAGCTGTTTTCTGCAGTGAACACAAGGTCCAGCTAGTTCTCCTGAACCCAGCAAGGGCTACTTTCACACTATCATCTTCACTTACTCATACCAGTGAGTTATTTCCTCAGGGTACTATGGACAACTGTGCAGTACAAACTACATGGATGGCTAAGGTATTTTAAAAAGCAGCATAGAAAATATTAACCCAAGAGTTCATGGCTTGTTCTCCTCATCTAAGATCTAGGAAATGGCCCACACATGAGAAGTCAAGGTCCAGGCATGCACCAGGTGACAGCATTCAAGTCAGAAAAAGAAACAGCCATTCCTTCCTCACCTCCAGCTCTCAATGTCCTGCTGAAACAAGCAGCAGGTCCAGAGAAAACAGAGACATTACCACTGAAGGGGAGGACGGAGGGCAGTGTGAAACTGGTCAACTACCAACTAAAAAGGTCTACCCAATAGACTGCAGCAGGATAGACAGCGAGTATTAAGCTCTTAACACATTTCAGTTGGATACCTTTCTGAAAGCTTGAAATGTAGAGATCTTCAGGGAGAAGACACACCAAGAAACAAGAAATGGAGATAGAAATACGAGAAGAGAATGTAAGTACATGAAAGAGAGAAAAAAATCAAAGTGAAATGCACCAAGAGCAAGCTAAATGTTAAATAGATTCCTTCTCTCAGTTGTTTCTCCCATTTCTTAAATGTCTCATGTTCTGCATCATTTCCCAACTATTATTTAACATTTTCTACTCTCATCACGAAAATCACATTAGACAAAGAAAAAGATATTTGTGGAACAAACAAGGAACAGAAACAAAGGGCAGAATAGTTCATGAATCTCTTAATAAGAATATTGTAATTTTGTTTAATGAACTCACTGTCTTCTACTATTTTTCAGGGGATATTTTCCTATTATTAAGCTCTAAGCTTTTAGAATTTTAAATGCATTCCAGTTGCCTTTTGTGGTTTTTGTTTTGTCTAAGAGAGACTGCTCAGGTGTCTGCTGACCCCAGGCTTTGCTGGGCTTCAGTGTGAGGGGCATGAAACCTTCCTGGCTGCTGGTTGAGGACTGCACTGAGTGGCCACGGCTGGCGCGGGTCACATATCTCATCTGTTTTAGATACTGATGTGCTGAACTGTTCTCCTAGCCCAGAAACCTTTTGGGTTATGCTTTTTAGGGATGCACCTCCAGACCTGGAAAAGAGGCAGTCAGTTGCTCAGGGGCAACTAGGACCTTACTTGCTTTGCAAAAGGCTTTCAACCAATCTACTTACATGGGTCACTACCAACCCTAACCCTCCCCATCAATTCCCAACTGGTACTAGAACCCAGCATTCCCTACTGCTAAACTGGGCTTTAGCTTTCCTGAATCGGCTAAATCCATAATAGTAATGCATTTGTTTTTCCAGTTCCCAAATATTTTTACAAAAATTGCCCCACTTTCATAGGTATACAACTTTTTTTTAACCTTTTTAATGGTGATGTGTAACAAACATACATAAAAGTACACCAATGTCTAACTCACTGATTTATTAAAAAACAAATGCCTACATAACCATCACTCAGGTCAATAAACAGATCATTCATTGTCTGTTCCCCAGAAGGGCCTCCCATACTCAGTTTCTCTCCTTCCCAAAGGAAATAATTCTCTTGACTTTCAGTGGAATCACTGTCTTGCTGTTCTTTACAGTGTATTATGTAAGCATGCACCCACAAGTGCTACAGTTTTAACTGCTTTAGAATTTTACATAACTGGAACAACTGAATGCATTTTTTGGCCTTGCTTCGTTTGCTCAACACTATGTTTGAAAGATTCATCCATGTTTTTCCACGTTGCTGTAGTCCATTTTCATCATCGTGTACTATTCCACTATGTGAACATGCCACAGTTTATTTTTTTACTGTCCACAGTCATTTAGGCTGACTCCTAATTTTTGGCTACTATGGATTAGGCTGCTGTTGTGAGTATTCCTGCAACATTTCTCTTTGCTGCATATATTTCTGTTAAGTAGATTCCCAGCTTAATAGAATGCTGGGTAAAAACAAGTTCTTATTTAAATGTTGCATGTAAGTAATATGTGTATATTTACATTTTTTTGAAAGAGGGTCTGGCTATGTAGTTCAGGCTGGCTTTGAACTTACTATGTAGCCCAGGGTGGCCTCAAATTCATGCCGATCCTCCTGTCTCAGCCTCCTGAGTTCTGGGATTACAGGTAGGCACCACCACAGCCAGCTTTGTTGTCCACTTTACAATAGTTTCCTGTATGTTTAGTGCTTTTTGTGACCTATTTAAGAAATTACTTTCCACCCTAAGGTCATGAAGATATTCTACATTATAAACAGTAGAAACTTTTTTTGTCTTTTTTCCTTCTTTCCTTTATCCCTTATTTTTTCAAATATTACTTCTACCCATTTTCCCTCTCTTTTCTCTGGGACTCCAAATACATGTACACTTGCTTATTCACTGTATTTACTGTTTCTTATGCTCTGTTTTTATGCTGTCCTTTCTTCTCTTAATGCTTCATTCTAGACTGTTTCTTCTGATCTATTTCCAGATCATGTTTGGTTTATCATCTGCAGTTAATTCATCTGTTGAGTTTTTTGTTTTACTTTTCAGTCCTAAAACATTCTTTTTGGTGTTTTATCAAATCTGTCACATCTTCTTTTATAATTCACACTTCTCTGTCAAAATTTTCTTTCAATCTAATCTTGTATGTCCTTGAACACAATAATCAAGTATGTCTTGGATTTAGCACAGGTATTTTTAAAACTTTGATGTGATAAACTCAAAGTCTGGAGAACCCGGAGGGTCTGCTTTTTTTTCTTGCTGTTTCTGGGGTTCTCATTCAAGTTGTAATAGCTCCTCAACTGCCAAGTTGTTTTTGGTCACCAGACACATACTGTCTTGGAAAGACTGTAAAAATCGTTTAAGGCCCTACATGATGTTAAGTGTACAGAGACTGCTTTTCGCCAGGTGAGTGGGATCACCTTAAATTTCAGGCGCTGAAATGATGGTGATGGCGGGCCACATTCCCTTCCAGGGCTATCCTACATGTGGCTCCTCCTTCCTGTCACATACATGCAGCCCTTCTGAGTGTCCTAAACCAACAAACAGAAGCTCTTTAGCCCTCACCTCATCCTTAGCAAGCCCTAAGCCCCAACATTTTTAGCTTAGCCACACAAGACTATGAAGAGAGCTGCTCAACCTTAGCCCCATCTTCTGAAATTCATGAATGTACTTAGAAGAGAAATGGTACAAAATGTTGGTCTAACCCAGTGATAGCAAATTGTTAAGAGGCCACTGCAGCAGACATGCCATAAGTTCGCCACCACTGGTCTAACCTCTCTGGATTTCTGTCTTTTCCCAGGTCTCAGCCTGGTAGTTTTTACTACTTTGTCAGTTTTATGATACCATTAAAGTAACTTGAAAATATTTCCTTTTGCTTTTCTAGCTATTTTAGCAGTCAAGGTTGATATAAAAACAGGGGTGGGCTGGGGATGTAGCTCGGTGGCACTGTGCCTGCCTGGCAAGTGCAAGGTCCTTGGTCCCGCAAAAAACGAAAACAAAAACAAAAAACATTAACAAGGTTACTGGATCTGGTCAGGGAGGTCAGAAATGTTTTCCACAACAAAGTAACAAGAAGCTAAATAGGTGCTAACTAGGAGGGAAGCTGAGAAAGGAGGCTTGTATAAGGGAAACAATATCCCAAGTAGGCACTCAAATGATGTCCCATCATACTCATCACTGGTTGACCCACCTATCTACTGAGGGACATTTAAGTTGTTTTGAACCTTTTGTCATTAAAAATAAAACTTCAATAAATATCCCACATGCAACTTTTGGCATCCTTTTCTAAGTACATCCTTATAGTAATCAAGAATTTATTAGAACCAGGCACAAGCTTGTAGTCCCAGCACTTGGGAGCCTGAGGCAAGAGAACAACTTGAGCACAAAAGTTAAAAAACAAAAACAAAAACAAAACAAAAGTCCTTTCTTACCACATATTATAGAGTTTATAATATTTTTTACTTCTATTTCCATTTAGATTTGAATATGAATTTTACTAAATTGGATTCTTGCATATTTTATCTTCCCTAACTTAAAGTCTTATCATTATTTTTATTTTTTCACTCGGATGCACCATTTCCTCAAGAACTGCCTCCCCGTAGTGATCTCCTAACTCATAAGTAAAGGTACTCACAAGCTCCTGACTTTCCATGTGAAATCTGAAGCATAAATACATACGGAAGCCTCCTCTCTATCCCCAAGTGAGCTAGACTTTCTCCACCAAGAGGGTGGTTTATCCTAACAGCTGACTGAATCCCCTTAGCACAGAGCCTGGAGAGAATGAGTCAGAGGCAGGTGTTCAGGTGACTACCACCTCTCTAGTCTCCTGAATTCTCAGACAAGTTAGGACGCACCTTTGAAAGCAAACCTCTGACAACACACAAGGAAAAAATACTTGGCTACATATACAACAAAATGTTACTACATAAGGATCCTTCACACACTGTAAGGAAAAATATGTGCATAACCCAGTAGAAAGGTGGATAGAAGATATGAATTAACATCCACAAAAGAGAAATGAGCCAAATAACCACAAGAAAAGAATATTCATTTGTCATCATAAAAGTATGAATCAAGTTTTAAAACACCAGGCAGTAACAAGTGTAAGAAGCTGCACTGGAGACAGCACTGTGAATCACACACACAAATGTAAAATGTATGGCCTTTCTAGAGGCCAGATTTAAATTCTATTTTGAGAGGTGCTGGGGACCGATCCAGGGCTTTGCATGTTTATGCAAGTGCTTAACACTGAGCTACATTCCCGGCCCTAAAATTTTAAGTATTAATTGATACAGATAAGCAATTTATAGAAATTTATCCTATGGAAATAATCAAGCCAATGTTATTTTTGGTTTTCTAATACTGCTTTACTTTCTTTCATATCATATACCACCACCTGAATTATTATTTTTTTTGGTACCAGGGATTGAACTCGGGACCTTGCACTTACAAGGCAGGTGCCGGAACCACTGAGCTAAATTCCTGGCCCCCACCACCTGAATTATATTTGTTCAAGGCCAGCCTGGGTAACTAAGCAAGACCTTGTCTCAAAATAAAATAAAAAGGGCTGGAGATGTAGCTCAGCACTCTCTCATTTCAATCCCCAGTGCCAGGGTTGGGGGGTTAGAGAGGACATGGGGAAAGATCACTGTACAAATTTCAAAACAGTAGAGGTTTTTATACCAAAAACTTGAAAAAAAAATCCAGTTTACAAGATGAGACTGGTTAGTACAAAGAATGATCAACAAAGACAACTATGTAATCATTAGAAATTAATCTTTTTAAAAAAGTAAATGTTTATAATGCCATTACATGACTTTTTGTGAATAAAAAATGGGAGGAAAAAACATACACAAAGACACAAGATAACTAACATCAAGATGTCAATGGGGAACATCTATGAGATGGTAGAATTATTAGTGAATATTTTTACCTATTTATGTTTCCATATTTTTCAAATTTTATTTTTCTACAGTGAACAGTTTTACTTTAATAACAGAAATAAAATGACTCAAGATAAACTAAAACCCAACTCTAAACTTCCTAGTTGCTAGTTTAAATGTAGAAAGTTTACCTTCTGCTTCATCGTCAGACATGAGTTCATCATCAGAGCATATGTTCAGAATGTTAACCAGCATCTCTGTGACTGTGTGAGGCAAAAGCACCCAAAATATACATAATTAGTAAGGGACTTTTTCTCAAATAATGTGTATACATACCAAACAAATACAGATAAAAATTATTTGTCACTATATTATTAAGAATAGCTATAGCTGGGTATTGCGGCACATGCTTATAATCCTAGCTGATAAGAAGGCTGAGGCAGGAGGATTGCAAGTTTTAGGCCAGCCAGGGAAACTTAGAGAGATTCTGTCTCAAAATAAAAGAAAAAAGTAAAAAGGGCTGACAGCATAGTTCAATGCTCCCTGGGTTCACTCTCCAGGAACACACACACACACACACACACACACACACACACACACACACACACACACAGCTGTAGCTATAAAACATTAACATTAAATGTAGATCATCAGATTTACAGAGAATTCAGGTAGATTTCTTGCTCCAGTAAAAGTCTTTGAAGATGCTGTTGTAAAATTACTTGATTTTATTAGAATGTTGTCTAGAGCCTTTTTTTGGATATATGCATGAAAAAATGTCTTCCCATTTTTCAAATACATTACATCAACAGGCCTAGATCCAACATGCTTATTTTATATTTGCATAGCTTATTTGTGTAGCTGTGCAAATAAAATTCTAAAGATAATAAATCTTATTTAAACCTCTTCAGCATTGAAGGGATGGTGTAGGACTTTATCATGGTAGGACAGCTACTTATTTAGAATAAGAAATCTGTAATATACTAGCACTGACATTTAAGAACCAATTAAAAATCCTTGGAGGAGCTGGGCTGGTGGTACAAACCTGTAATCTCAGCACTAAGGAGGCTGAGGGAGGAGGATTGCCATGAGTTCAAGGCCAGCCTGGACCACACAGCAAGACCCTATCTCAAAAAACTAAAAAAAAAAAAAAATCTTTAGAGGGCTAGGCATGGTGGTGCATGCCTGTAATCCCAGTACTTGGAAGGCTGAGGCAGGAGCATTGCTGTGAGTTCAAGGCCAGCATAGACTACATAGTGAGTTCAAGGCCAGCCTGAACTACACAATGACACCCTATCTTGTTGGGTTTTTTTGGGTTTTTTTTGGCACCGGGGATTGAACTCAACTGGGTCCTTGTGCTTGTGGGGCAGGTGGTGGAACCACTGAGCTAAATCCCTGGCCCTCCCTATCTCAACAACAATAACAACAACAACAACAAATCTTTGGAGGAAACAAAATTAGCAAACATTTCTGATAATATTTTGAGAGAAACATTCTGAACCAACAAAGAGAGGCTCACGCTAGAGGAAAAGGTGTGTGGACATTTCCCTTTCTTACCTTTTTCCCCAACAAAAGGCAAAGACCATGTGAAAACATCCATAAAGTTTGGGAGCCAGTAGGGGTGTGGAGAACAGTTAAACTGCCTGATGTTCATGACATTGTTTTCATATTTCAATACTGCAGCTAGAAAGGAAAAAGCAAGAAAATTAGGCACAGAGGAACATGGCATGGAAACCAATGTGCTTTATACAGCTGTGTTCCCACTACATAGAATCCAGAGGATAACTTCCTACTTGTAATTCAGGACTGGTGAAGTGCAGACAGAAAGCTGTAAGGCATTCTATGTATGGCAGTTCACCTGAAGAGCTCATGTAATAAAATACTTTCAAGGCTTCACTGCACATAACTATCTATAGAAGCCTCATGTTCCATATTAGAAAATTTTCCCCATAATTTCCTTTTATTTATATCACTCACAAGCTGTTTTGCTAGTCATTAGCCACAGGCAAAGAAAGCTTTTCAAAAATCTCTGGAAGTTTAGAAATAGCAGTTATCAATTCATAGAGGGGGTATACAAATGGTAAACTTGGGGCAATTTACAATTAGTGTTCAAAATAAATTAAATCATCTCTGCACAGAACATAGTGGACTTTTAAAATGCCTGTTTATCCTATTCACAGGATATCGCCAGCACACAATATATGTTTAATATTTATTAAACCAGTTCATACAGCTGCATACACATTTTGATGCCTAAGTGATTTTCTTTATATTTTTTCTTTATATATATATATATATTTTTTTTTTTTTTTGTACCGGGGATCGAACTCGGGTCCCTGCGCTTGTGCAGCAGGCGGTGAAACCACTGAGCTAAATCCCCGGCCCTTTTCTTTATATTTTAAAAGCTTCAAAATCTAATTCCCTAGCCTCCATCACCAGAAATGTTGTTTGCACTATTCTTTTAATTATTCTTACTTATTCTATAAAATAGAATAGGGTACAGCAGTTTCCTCAAAATAACAGATATGGGTCATCTCCTGGTTCCTGTTTCTTTGTTATAGGATAGGCTAGTATTCTCAAAATTTAATTACTGAATGCCCAAAAAGTACACCATTGATTATAAAGAAAATACACAAAAATGGGACCTCTAGTTCTTAAAAAGCTAACCCTGGATACCAGGTAAACGTCTCATTATTTTCATGGATATGTATTTTATTTAGTTTAAATGAATATATCATTATTCAGTAACAGTCTCAATCTACTCAGGAAAAAAAAGTGAGAAGTGAGTCTCAACAGTGGATGACAAGTAAATTGCTTTTGAGTAGACAGAAAAGTAACCAAGAATAAGAATCTAAAAAAACCCATAACTTAAGGGTCTAACAGGTGACCAGTGGAACTGAGAAATACTTGAAGATGCCAATAAGTGTAAAGAATATACAAAAAAAGGGAGAGGACGGGGATGCAGCCCAGCGATAGAGCACTTGCCTAACATGTGCAAGGCTTTGGGTTCGAGTCCACTAATAAAAAAAAGGTGAGAAGTAAAATGTAAAAAGTAAAAGCAGTAATGGAAGAAGAAGGAGGAGGAAGAGAGTGACATAGTCGCTCTTTTTAGAAAAGAGGCAGCTGTAGAGGAAGTAACTGAGTGCCAACAGGGATTGTTTCAGATGCTATACTTTCTTTTTCCTTTAAAAAAAAAAAAAAAGCTTAGAAAACCACCAGGAAGGGCTGGGGATTTAGCTCAGTGGTACCTCACAAGCCCAAGGTCCTGAGTTCAATCCCTGGTACAGAAAAAAAAAAAAAAACACCAAGGAAATCATATTGTTTTGAAATAAAGTTACCAATTATATCAAAGCTGACAGAAAACCTAAGTAGAATGGACTATGGTTGAAAATGTTTACTAAACAATAATCAAGAACAAAACCAGACCAGAATGGGGCAAAAAATGAACTAGTAGTTAGAAACTGTCTAGTGCTTGCTGATTTAGGTGACATGTTTTAGTTCAATTTACTGATAAATCCACTGGACAATCACTAGATACACCTAATAATGAAGTTTAAAAGGATATGAGCAGGAGTCTTCATTACAAATATGAGGCACTCTGGCATGCCGTTGCAGGAGGATCACAATTGAACTCAGCCTGGGCAACTTAGCAAGATCCTTACTCAAAAAAAAAAAAAAAAAAGTAGGGCTGGGGATTTAGCTCAGTGGCGCTGTACCTGCCTTGATCCCCAGTACCCGCCCCCCCAAAAAAAGTAAAAATAAAAAAGTGCTGGGGATGTAACTAGGTACAAAAACCCTGCGTTGAATTCTCAGGACTGAGGAAAACACACACACACATAAAATGTATACCACTAGATAAGAAAGGAAACCAAAATAAAACCATGTGGCTAATGTACTGGAAATGTTGGAAAAGAGGAGTAAGAACAAAAAAACTTAGAAAGAAGCAGAACATTGTAGGATAGCTAAGGCTCGAGGAAGAATGATGAGAAACAATAAGAAAACATAAGGCTAGGAGAGAACTTAAATGCTTTTTTAAAATGGGTAACAAAAAAATGGGTAAGAAGGGCTGAGAGTTTTGCTTAGTGGTGGAACACTTGCCTCACATGTGTGAGGCTCTGGGTTCTATTTGGTGTGTGTGGGGGGGTGTTAACAAATCAGTGAAAACCACACAAGTGCTCTGTCACTGAACAATATCCCCAGCTCCCAGAGTTTACTTATAAACAGGGTAAATATTAAGTACATGTTTTACCTCTTTTGAAACTTGTCTCCCCAGCTGCATACTGCATATACAAGGTATGACTATAAAGTAATGAGACTTAAGAAACCACCAACTACAAACACACGGCACCTCATATATCAGATGAGTGGGGCCCTTTGATGTCATCACATCAGGCATAACAGCAGTAAAATGTTACAGTATTACAGGAGTTTATATTTTGAACAATGCTTTAGTATTTATTTTCTTGATTCCAACTTATCTTCAACAACTCTATATGCCACATATTTTAAAGATAAACTGAGGCCTAGAGAAGTTAAGTATCTTGTTAAATATGACACACTGAAAAATGAAGCAGGAATTCAGGCTCCTAGCTTAGGGTTCTTTCAACAAAACTTGCTCCTTGCCATACAATTAATCTGAAGATGCTGCCACTATTCAGAACGCTTTTGGAACTCTTCTTCTGGAATTGCCTCCAGAGCCAGTATAAATGCAACACAACAAGAACCAGTCTCATTACCTTTTAATCATACCTTGTTTTGACCCCAAATGGTGTCATTGAGCTCAATCACTCACCTTTATTTATCTTGACTCCGAATGACTTTTGGATGTCCAAAAATCAAATCCACCCTCAAAGGACGAAGATTTCCCATCATTGAGGATAATCAAAAGAATGTGTCGCAGACTCTGAAGGCAATGCCAAAAGAGGAGTTCCAAAAATGTTTTTGAACAATGACTGCATTGTTGGAATACACATCTAGCCTCCCAAGATAATTGCTTTGAAGGGACAATACTCATCTGGATATATTTGTTTTAGCATGTTTGTTTGAAAGTCCTATTATTTTATAGTCACACTTAATAAACAATGAAATACAGACATGGAGTTTTTGTAGGACCACTGCCCTGAAAAAAAAAACTTATGAACTATGAATCATAAAAGTTTTAAATTTAATAAAAGACTTTAGTGAGATAAAGTCTTAGAAGCAGAGTTTCTGAAACAAAAGGCATGTGCATATCCTTCTTTTTAATATAGGAAACAAGTTTAGAAAGATTGTATGACTTAGCGAAAGTCACACTTAGTTTCTAGCAGGGATTGGACTAAAATAAAGACCTTTTTTCCTGACTGTACACTATTCATTCACTCTATCATACTGTGTATCAGGGAGAACAAAACCAGCTTAATAACTTACAAACATCAAAACAACAAATGATAACTTTTTGAGGTACAATTATAAACAAATTCTCCAAAACCAGTAATTTATGCTAAACATTCTAACATGACCTTGAAGTTTTTAACTCTCCTTAAACTTTTGACTCAATAGTACAAACCTGTAGTATCATTATCGGTATTTACAAAGAACCCCGATCTTGTTATGAGATGAAGACCAAGCAGCAGCATGAACTTTAAATTTCTTGGCCTTTGTTTCAATTAAAATCTCTTTTCTTCTTTTTTTGGGGGGGGAGGGCATTGGTGCTGGAGATTGAATCCAGGGCCTTGCATATGCTAAGCACATGCTTTACCAGGGAGCTTTACCTCCTGCCCAAGATCTTTTTTCTTATTCAATAAAAATAAGTACTGGAGGGCAGGGGATTTAGCTCAGTGGTTTCACCGCCTGCTGCACAGGTGCCAAGGACCTGAGTTCAATCCCCGGTACCAAAAAAAAAAAAAGTACTGGAGGGTGTAACTCCATGGTAGAATGTATGCTTAGCAAGTACAAGGCCATGGATTCAATTCCCCAGCACCAAAAAAATAATAAACAAGCACACATAATTGAACTATAGCTCACATTTACTCACAAATTCAAACTCAAATATTGCTGGACTCCTTTACCTTTGTTGTTATAGACATCTAGGTAATTAGGGGCAGAGAAAATTGTAATAAGTGATGGAAAGCCGGTGGTCTGGCTCTTCCTGTACATTCGATACCTGGAAGAGAGATGATAGCCTGTTTGTCTTGATATGAAAGGGTAAAAAAAATTTGCTGTGATATTTGGTTCTATTACAGTTTTAATGTAACTTACCCAGCATCTTGGGCTTCATGGGCTCTGATTATTGATAATAAATTGTTGTTCTGTAAAAATTCACAAACTGCAGGGTAACTGAAAATTAGAAAACACAAGTTAAGAATTAAAACAACTATTTTTTAATAGGAGGAAGGGGAAAGCCAAGATTAATTGACTATTCAATTTCAAGATTATAGGTATTATACACAGCTGAAATTAGTGATGATGACTATTTTTCATTTCACTACTGAAAGCCACAGGTCATAAATTAAGATAACATTCAACCCTAGAACAGAAAGAGCTCCCTACCTTTTAATTTCTTTTCTAACCCATAGCAATAATGATACAATACTGGAACTTCTCTTGGTATCTTGATGTAAAAAGTACCACAGTAGCATGCATGTGCATGTATACATGTGTGTATGTACACAGTCGTGCTATAAACTGAATACATAATTTTTTTCAACCATGAAACTATCAAGCTGTTAGAAAAGGAAAAGAACCTATGAATAGCTTCACATGTACTATCCACACCAAGATGATCTTAAGCAAGGTGACTGCAGGAGTGGGACAGCACAGCCAATCACATTCTAATGAAAGGTATGACACCTGCACACAGGCCTAAAATATTCTCAGTACCATTACCTTTCTGAATGACAAATATCTGGTAGGAAGAACTGGATAATACAAAATTAAACTGGAATTATGCAGGTATTATTTAGTTTATTAAAACTTTTTTTTTCTCATTATGCTCATTAGAAAAAATTTACTTTTAAAATAGATCGTGGGTGACATCATCAAAATGGCAGAAGAGAAAGTCCCCAGCCCTTCTCTTGACACAGAAACAACAAACTGGCAGCCATTCAGAGACTAAGTGTTGCTGTAGGGCCCTTAGCATTGAGGTAGGAGGTTGTGAAGTTTTGGTGGAGCCCAAGCCTAAGGAGGGCCACAGTGAAAAGGCAGCACCCCCGCCCTGAACCCATGCAGATGCAGAAGCAGCCTGGGCCTCTGTGGGCTTGTGCCACTTATCTGCAGTCCTGGCAGCAGCCCCATCTTCCTAGGGACCTGGGAGGAGCTATGACCACTAGTGACACTGATAGCAGACTTGCCAGTCAAATCCAATGGTAGGACCAGAACAGGCCCATGGCTAAGCTCCAGCCTCACTCTATGGTGGCCTAGAGATAGTCCTAGTCCTACTGTTTCAGAGACCTGGGCAGAAACACACCTGTCCATGCTCCAGGGCTGCTGACTGGACCCTAAGGCAGACCTAAACAAGCCTTGTGACCTTGTTTAACACTCATTCTACTGAGTTCCAGAGGTACTTGTGTCCACCCAGGCATATGAGAGATGACACTGCTGTCCATGCTACCAACTGCTATAAACTGAATACAGACCTACCAACTGTGGATCCTATGGTAGCCCTGTGACTCAGCTCCAGTTCTGCTCAGCCATGATTCCAGAGTATCCCCAAAAGTCCAAAGACCCAGCAGAAGGTATTTGCCTGACAAAACAAATCTGTACAGACTAGAGGAGGTGTCTGTTCCTTCCAGTGCACAAACACCAGTGCATATCCACACAGATCCTGAAGCAGCAGGCAAGCATGATACCACCAAAGAAAACTAACAGAGCTCCAGTAATTGACCCTAAGGAAATGGAGATTCACAAAATGCATGGCAAAGAATGCAAATTCATCATCTCAGAGAAGGTCTAGGAGCTGCAAGAGAACATAGCAACTAAATGAAATCAGGAAAACAATACAGGAACAAACTGAGATGTTTAATAAAGAAATAGAAAAAGGGCTAGGGGTGTAGCTCAGCAGTAGAGCATGTGCCTAGCCTGCCCCAAGGCCCTGGGTCAATCCCCAACCTTGAGGGGGAAAAAAACCAAGAAAAGACTAGAAATCCTAAAAAAGAACCAAACAGAAATCCTGGAGATGAAGACTACAATGACTGAACTAAAAAGATCCAATAAAAAGCTCCAGCAGCAGACTCAGTTGTGCCGAAGAATTACTGTACTCAAAGATAACTCATTTGAAATTATCTAGAGGAACAACAACAGCAATAAAAGAATGAATAAGAGTGTCAAAAGTACATGAGACTTATGGGACAGCACTAAGCAAAATAATACATGCATAGGAGTTCAAGAAGGAGAGTAAAGAAAGGGGGCAGAAATTTCATTTAAAGAAGTAATGGCTGAGAATTTCCCAAATCTAGGGAGGGAAATGAACATCTCAATTCATAAAGCTCAAAAGTCTCCAAATAAGTTAAACCAAAGAAGTCTAAACTAAGATGCATTATAAACAGTCAAAAGTTACAACCAGAGAGAATTTTGAAAGCAGAAGAAGAAATGTAGCCATTCACATAGGAACTTTCTGGTCACAAAGGGAGCTTTCATAAGACTATGAGTAAATTTCTGAGCAGAAACTTTGCAGGCCAGGAGAGTAAAGGACTATAGAGAGAGAGAGAGAGAGAGAGAGAGGGAGGGAGGAAGAGAGAGAGAGAGGAGGGAAGGAAAGGAAACGTAAAGAAGGAAAAAAAGAAGAAAAAGAAGGAAGAAAGGAAGGCTGGGGATTTAGCTCAGTGGTTTTGTCGCCTGCTGCGCAAGTGCAAGGACCTGAGTTCAATCCCCGGTACCAAAAAAAAGAAGGAAGGAAGGAAAGAGAGGTGGCACTGCCAACCAAAGTCGTAAGGATTTTACCCAGCAAAATGTCATTTGACAATGAAGTAAAGGTTGGGTGTGGTGGTGCATGCCTGTAATGCCAGCACTCTGAGAGGTTGAGGCAGGAGGATCACAAATTTGAGCCCAACCTGGGCAACTTAGCAACATGGTGAGATCCTATTTCAAAAATTAAAATAAATTAATTAATTAAATAAAGAGCTGGAGATGTAGCTCAGGACAAAGGCCCTAGGCTTAATCCTCAGTATTATAAAAAAGAAAAAGAGTGGTAAGACTTTCCTAGACAACACAAATCTGAAAGAGTTTATTACCACTAGACCTTCCTTATAAGAACTACTAAAGAAAGTGCAAGTCAAAATGAAAGGAGGCTTGGGCCAGGGATTTAGCTCAGTGGTTTAGCCTCCAGCTGCGCAGGCGCAAGGACCAGAGTTTGATCCCCGGTACCAAAAAAAAAAAAAAGTATACAGTTTCTGTATGTGACTGAAGTTAAATTCTCAGCTGAAGGTAGACTGCCATAACTATACTTTGATGTGAATCTCATGGTTAAAAAAAGAAAAGTTCAGTGTAGATACACAAAGATGAAGAACCAAAACACATTAGCACACACACACAAAAAAAATCATCAAAGCCCAAAGACAGACATGAGAGTAAGAAACAGAAGAACCATAAAAAAGATAAAAAATAATACCAAAATGGCAACTTTATCTTTATCTGTCCCTAATCACTTTATCTCCTCAGTGGAAACATACAGAGTGACTGGATAAAATAGCCAAGACCCAACTATATGCTGTCTATAAGAGAATCACTTTAGATTTAAGGATATACATAAGCCAAAAGCAAAGGGGTGGAGAAAGATATTTCATGACCTGGTAATCAAAATAAAACAGGAGTGGCTATATTTAAATCAGAGAAAATAGAATTTAAGTCAGAGAAAACCCCACAAATAACTTGAGAAAATAAATGGGCGAAGGACCTGAATAGACTCTTGAACAATAACAACAAAAAAATGCAAATGGCTACCAGGTATATGAAAAACTACTCAACATCACTAATCACCAGGAAAATACAAATCAAAATTACAATGACATATTTCCACACACCTGTCAGAATGGCTATTATCCAAAAGACAGAATGTATTGGCAAGGATGTTTTAGAAAATGAAACCCTTGGTACACCATTGGTAGGGATATAAATGAGTACAGCCATTATGGAAAACAGGTGGAAACTCTTTAAAAAATTAAAAACAGAACTATCACATGCTCAATCATCCTACTTCTGGGTATATTTCCAAAGGAAATAAAATCAGTATCTGAGTATTTGTCCTCCCATGTTCATCAAAGCATCATTCACAATGGCCAGAATATGGAAACAAGCTAAATTCGTGTATGTGTATGTGTGTATAAAATTTAAACTTAGAAGAATGAAATTCCACCATTTGTAATACATGGATGAATCTGGGAAATACTGGTAATGAAACAAATAGTGCATATGACCTCACTTATATGTAGAATCTAAACTCACCAAAAGAGTAGAATTAGAATGATAGTTGCCAGAGGGGTAGGAGTTGGGGAACTGGGGAGATGTTAGTCAGAGCACAAAAAAGGGTGGAGAGTATAGGTCAGTGGTAGAATACAGACTTAGCAATTAAAGATACTGTACTGGATACTTGACCTTTGGTAAGGTTATGGGTAGATTCCAAGTGTTCTCACCACATACACACAAAAAAGGCATGCGAGGCAATAGATACATCAATTAGGTAAGCTGACTGTGGTGGTCATTTCACAATGAATATGTGTATCAAAATATCTAGTTGTATACCCTAAATACATACTTTTTAGTGGCCAGTAAAGTTAAATATAAATAAATGACTGTACACTAACAAGATATAAAATTTTTTAACAAGATATAAAATTTAAAAATACAAGAGTAGACAGTAAAATACCTCCTTTCTACTATGATCTTCCAGCTACCCTGAAAGCCACCAGTGTTCCTGATTTCTTTTTTTTTCCTGGTACCGTGGATCAAACTCAGGACCTTGCACTTGCAAGGCAGGTGCGGTGCCACTGAGCTAAATCCCCAGTCCTCCTGATTTCTTGAGTATTCATTCCTTCAAAGATAATCTATCCAATTCCAAGGAGTTACATATGTATACCTCCCTTCTTCTTTGTCTGTTGTTTTTGAAATGTTAGCAGATGGTACACATAATTCTGTACTGTCTTTTTCACTTTTATTAGTGATTATTTCATATCAGTACATGAACAACTTTTCTTTTTCATTTTGAAAAACAGCCTAATATCTGAATCTATTAGAAATTGCTTGTCTTCTACTGAACACTGTGGTTATTTTCAATCTTTTATTATAAAAATAATGCAAAAGGAATAAACATTTCACACATTTGCAGGTAGAATTCTCATTATCTGAAGTAACAAGTGTTCTATCATATTGCTTCAAAAATGAATTAGAAAAGAATAAAACAGTATTCCTAGGGGAAATATAGGGTTAATGTCCTATAAGCCTTTGGTCATAACATTTGCACTGAATGATTAATACATAATCTTATTTCAGATGTGAGCTTCCCCCTGCTCCTCAAATAACGGGGACTGAACCCACAGCCTTTATGTTGAGCTACATCCCCAGCCCTTTTTTTTCTTTTTGAGGGTTTGCTATAAGTTGCCCAGTTTGGTGGGCCCAAACTTATAATCCTCCTGCCTCGGCCTCTCACAATGTTGGGATTTCAGGCACTTTACTTTAATATATTGCTGATTCATGGACACTGAGTGCACGGCCAACATCACAATTCATGAGTTAACTAAGATTATCTAACATACACAAATTTTCTATGCCAGGCACACTGCAGCCTTCTTGTGCTTGGAAACAGTGGACAGCACTCCTGCACTATTGCGTGCCACTTAAAACAGCAAAATCCTAACAAAAACCACAAAGCCACGGAAATGCTGCACTACATAGGTAGCAAAAAGAATACAGGTACTTGTTTACAGTATGATGGCTGAAACAAGAAGACAGAATATTATTACTAGGTTAACCTAGCAGGGAACACGTGTGTGGAATGAATCAATTTTTTTTGTTCCTATGCACAGTGCATATCCATGGAAAACTTTGAGGGATTCGTATTGATTTGGGGGTTACAAATAAATCTTAGTGAGTAGAGGAATTAAAAAATATGGAATCTGCAAATACTGAACTTCTACTGTCTATCCATAGGATTAAATCTTTGAAATAGAATTTCTGGATCAAGGCCATGTTCATTTATAATTCAGAGAATGCCAAGTTTACCTCTATAGAAATTATAACAATTTACATTCTGCCAACAATAAAGATTATGCTTCTAAGAATATAAAAAGAAATAAAAGTTAAATGATTTCACCATATAAGTCACTTAAAAGGTTGGCAATGAAGAATGCAAAAAGGGCATTTACAAAAATGCTAAAATGGAGGTTGTGTGTGTGTTTATCTCATTTAATTAATGTGCTATTTTAGCCAATTAACAGATTTTTAGGGGAGAATATACAAGTTTTCTTTGTCACACAAAATAATTTATGTTTCAAACTTCTCTATCTCTCTATTGTTGGGGGGCAAACCACAATGAAAGCTGACACGTGGAACTCAGGACAGCAGCCAACTTCCGGGAAATGTCCTGGTCTTAGATCACAGTGTCCTGTTCTTTTTATAGCTTTGTCTATACAAATGGCTCCAAAATCTGGAGAGCTTTTAAAAATAACAGGACTCCCCTGTCTCAGGCTTACTGAATCAGAACGTCTGGGAAAGAGCCAAAATGGCTTTTTAAAATGAAAATACATAAATAATGTTTAGGAACAAATAATCTAGATCATTTAGTCAGACAATATTGAGGCACTGAAAGATGTCCAACCATGTTCGGCGTATTACACTTTTAGGGCATAATACCCATGAAAATATAAAACAAACACATAAAACATTTTTGTCTTCTTTTCAAAAATTAAACAGAAGCCCCTACACTACATGTTTAAGATATAAAATGCTTTAAAAAATTTTTACTTTTAACTGTATCATGGGTTTTGGTTTTTTTTTTCCTCTGCCAGGGATCGAACTCAGAGACTTGTGCTTGCCAGGCAGGCGTGGCACCACTGAGCTATATCCTCGGCCCCTTTTTCGTAATCTTCTACTTTGATTAGCTTACCTGAAAAAGTAAGAGCACCCTCGCACAGTATTGTGGGTATAGTTCTCCAAGGTCTTTTCACTGCCATAATCTTCTGAGGGATCAGACCAAAGCAGATCACACACTGGCCCAAAGGCAGGAGGTTCAGTAAACCTGTCTAACTGGAAGACATGCAAGTCAGAAGACAAAACTCAGGAAAACAAAAGGGCTCTTAGAAGCAGTTAGGTCAAAACCCCTTTTCCACCTCTAGGAATGCATTAGGAGAAAAGATAGTAAGCCCTCAAAGGGTTTTCCTGCAAAAAAATGAACATCTAAACAATTTAGATACACAATTTTGATTATTTCCTCTAGCAAACGTTCATACCATTGAAAGGACTTCCACTTCCTTGGGCTGGGGCTATGGCTCAGTGTACAATGTTTGCCTAACACACACAGGCCCTGGGTTTGAATCTCAGTGCCTTAAGAAGAAAGGAAGGTCAAAAAGGACATCCTCCCACTCCAATCTTAAAGCAGTGCTCTTTCAATATGAATGTGTAATCAGTCACTAGAGAGACACTATTTTAGGAAAACCATGTGAGGGTAATTTCAATTGCCTGTGAGGACCAGTTACCAGGAGAGCAGGACAGTTTTTCAATGGTTTTGTTCATTGCTTACTTTATTCCAATGAATAGTTATTTAAAAGAATGCTAGCTTAATTTTGAATAGGGTTTTCATCTTTTCCATTCTATGCAGTAGAGTCATTTTAGTATCAGTTATTAACTTACGTTTTTAGTCACTACTGCTTTAGTTAAAAGCACAAAGATCAAAAGAATACAAATAACTAGAATAGCTCAATGCCAAGAAGAGGACTCCTGCTGAGTGAAAGGGGAGCTATTTATTAATACAATTGATTGAGATTGTTAAATCCAAGATTTACTCTATAAAGCAAAAGACTAGTTATTGAAGACAGTAAGGCAACAGAAAAGCCAGTGCCTACAGGTGGGCACCCTTACCCTCGGAAGACTGACTGTCTTTCTGTCTTTATTTATTTATTTTTGTTTTTTTGAGACAGGGTCTCACTATGTAGTTCAGGCTGGCCTTGAACTCATGGTGATCCTCCTGCCTCAGCCTCGTGAGTGCTGGGATTACAGGCATGTGCCACCATGCCCAGCAGGAGATTGACTTTAACTCAGAGAAAACAGATTTATGAACACATAAATCTTTAGTTTCAGTAACTATATGAGAGAGCTAAGAAAATATAAAGGTAGAGAAGAAAGTCATGTAGAACAGATTGGTCCTCTTTTTTCAATGAAGATGAAGAGTCTTTGAAATAATCATCATGTAAGGCAAGTGAAACAGTTAAACTTTAACATCTAAAATGTCAGTCAATGACCTTCAGAACTGACAGAGTCCTCATACCATCCATTCCAACTTTCTCATTTCACAAAGAAAACATGCTAGGAAGTCAAGCAATTTTGTTGAGGACTAGGATTAGAACCCTGGTTTCCGTCCTTCCGTATTTTGACATAATTTAAAGTTTCAAACCAGGCAAGGTGGTACATGCCTGTAATCTCAGCTACTCGGGAGGCTAAGGAGCAAAAGAGAGTCCTGGCAGGTTCAGTGAGACCCTGTCAAAATAAAAAGGTCCCTGGTACAGCTGGTGGTGCCAGAATAACGTTTCATAGGTATAGTCTAAGAATTTTATGCTTCTGTTGGTAAAGGCACAGAATTAATTTTAAAAATGAAAGAAAATTCCTGGCAGATTTGTATCAGTGTAAAGTGTCTTGCAACAATGAGACCATAGGTAATTTCTATTTTCTGACTTTTGATAAACTGTATTTTTAAAATTTTAGCTAAATATAAATCAATTGGCTGGAATAAGAAAATGACATTTTAAAACATATCTGTGAGAAAAATAAGAGATTACTTACTTTTCTAATGTCATCTAAACAAGTGATTTCAGGTGACATTCCTCCATGTACACAGAGAAACTGCTGGTTTAAGAGGGCAGCAAGAGGAAGACAGTCAAACGTGTCCATACATGCCTCATACACCCGTTCTGAATATTTGATTAGACCTACCAAAAAAGGAAAAAGTCAAGGAAAAAAGCTATTATATATGAAAACAGATATAGCCCAGAACAATATGAAGCTATTTCAAAGTCATTTATTTATTTCAGGCAAATGTGAAAACACAATCATCTTTGTGAAGATATTTTTGAAAAGTTATAAAGGTTAAACAAACCTCTCTCCTCTCTAAAAACAAGTGTGACTTTGGATTAACTTTCCAGTTTTGTTGCCCTGGAAACCTGGTAAGGTGACTGTCAGCTGTCTCATTAGGCAACACTGCTTATGGTAAAAATTACCCCATTACCTGGCAGGAGGCTGTATCTTTGGGCTCCTTTGCGGATGATGACTCATATGTCAGGATGTCCCTTTTGGGACCCTGGAAGCTCTGCCAATAAAGCTTCTACAAGAGATACTGGCGCTTGTGATGCATGAGGCTTCTAAGCCAGAGTGGTTCCCTGCCCTACCCAGGGTGGATACTGTTTCTGTGTACCTCAGCTGACTTGGGAGGGGAAACAGACCAAAAAGCTTTACACACTCCCACAGGCACTATACCACTGAAAAGCAAGACCTAACATCCTTCAAAGCACATAGAGACCAAGTGTGGTCTGTGGCAGTCCTGTGAGTCCAAATAGCTCACTGAGTCTTAAAAGATTCCTTGAAAAAAAAATAAATAAAAGATTCCTTGAAGGTGATAAAGATATTTAATTAAAAACTGGAGATTTAAGAGACATCAATAAAATAATAATCTTTTTGCTTATGATTTTAAAAGTCTGTAAGTAAATTATGTCCTGATTCAATGTTACATAAAAATGTTCAGCTTAATAAATTATATTTTGATGTAGTTGTCAAGCTGGGTCTACAGAACGAGGAAACACTCCAGCGGGTAGAAGGCGAGGGCTCTGCAATTCTCCAGGAAGGAAGGGCCGTGAAATAATAGGTGGGAAACTGGAAGGTGGGCTTTCATTTAAAGAGAAAGGGAACATTTTCTCTTCTTGGATACTACGGCTTGGAAGTCACTTGAGTGTGTCCCCAGTGTCCATGCGCTGGAAGGCTAGGCTCCCGTGTAGGGATGCCAGGAGGTGGAGCCTAGTGGGAAGTCCATGAGGTTTGCCCTCTGAAGGAATGAATGCCATTCTCCTGAGACTCTGGCCAGTGCTGGCTTGGGGGTTGTTACAAAATGATCAAGGCTGGCCCCTCCCACTCTCCAACTCCCATCTCACCATGTGATCTCTCTTTAGCTTGTGCTCCCACCATGATGGCATCCACTATGAGGTCCTCGCCAGTACAGAGCTAATGCTGGCCCATGCCCTTGAACCTCCAGAACTGTGGACTAAGCAAACCTCTTTGCTTTGTAAAGTATCCACCTTCGATGGGTGTGGTAGCTCATGCCTGTAATCCCAGCACCAGGAGGCTGAGGCAGGAGGATGACAGTGAATTCAAGGCCAGCATGGGCTACATAGTGAGTTCAAGGCCAGCCTGCACTCCATAGTGAAATCTTGTCTCAATAAAAAAAAAAAAAAGAGTACCCACCTTCAAGTTCTTACAGCCTGCTGTAACCCCGCACTCAAGTATTTTGCTATAGTAATTGAAAACAGATTATATACTTTACACTTGGTTTTCAAAGTCATTATGTGCCTGGGGCTGAGTGTTGGCAAAAGTGGCCTGAAGTCTTACAGTTGGGCAGCCCTAGAGCACTGGGATGGCCTACAATCCAGGAGAACACAGCTGTATCTAGAGAGTAGGATTATCCTGGCATTAATGATTTCTAAGATTTAATTTTATTAATTTTGAACACTGGATTTATACCTGCCACACACTGGGCACACTGTTTCTGGAGATACTGTAATACCAGGTTGATGCATGGAGTGGATGGAGCAAGCTCCTATTCCATCTCCCTGCTCCAAAAGTCCACTTAGTATATTGTCCTTGGATAGAGGTCGTATCGGATATTAAGCTGATAAGAACAAATAATGTACTGCCCTTGATCTTAGTCAAAAGGCCAAGAAGCAATCTCTCCAAGCTTTTAGAAAAGACATTTCAGTGTCAAGAGCCTGGCCTTGGCAAGCTTTGAGGAATGAAGCAAAGGAAGAGGGGCCCAGATTTGGACCAGAGTGAAGTACCTGGATAGTGGGAATGATCAGAGAGGTTCCTAAGGGGAAGTGTAAACAAGGGAGCCACAGTTGAGGTTATATGGTCTTCTGCTATAGGATGTGAAGGTTTTCCCTTTACTGCCAAAACCGAATGATCCTTTTTCTCCTAAAAATCCTAGGAGCCAGTTTTCTCTGTTCCCAACATCAATAAGGAATTCCTTCCTAAGAGTCCTAATCTCAAATATAAGCAACAATCTAAATTACTTACTAATTAATACTTCATAACTACATCTAGCATTGACAGCATGCCTTTTGAGCCTCTCATGATTTAAAAGAATTCCTTAATTTACAAAAGATATGCCAAATCTGGAGAGAGATGGCAAGTAAATAGAGTAAATTAAGCCAATCTGTAAATTATAACAGGAAGCCAAAAATCAAATTAAAAGGAACTTACGTTGTATATGACTAAAAATAGGTCACAATATGTTTCCATTTTTACTTTTTCCAAGTATGTGGATAAGCGCTGGGCATGATAGAAAGAATGGCTGCTATCGAGAAATCAACCAATGACAAATGCTGGCGGGGGTGTGGGGAGAAAGGAACCCTTCTCCATTGTTGGTAGGAGTGCTGACTGGTCCAACCACTGTGGAAATCAGCATGGAGATACCTCAAAGAACTAGGACTAGAGGTCCAATTTGACCTAGCTATTCCCCTGCTGGGTATCTTCCCCAAAGAATTAAAAGAATCATATCACAGTGATATATGTGCACCCATGTATACAGCAGCACAGTTTGTGATAGCTAAAACTTGGAAACAGCCCAAGTGCCCATCAACTGGAGACTGGATAAAGAAAATGTGGTGTTTTTTTTTTATAAAATGGAGTACTACTCAGCCATAAAGAATAAGAAACTAGAGACATTTATAGCTAAATGGATGCACATTGAAGCCATACTCTTTTTTTTTTTTTTTTGGTACAGGGGCTCAAACTTTGGACCTTGCACCTGTAAGGCAGGTGGCGGAACCACTGAGCTAACTCCCCAGCCCTGAGGCCATACTCTTAAGTGAAATAAATAGGACCCACATGTGTAAATACCGAATAGTTTCTCTGGCGTGAGAAAATGAAAGTGTAAATAAGGACTAATAGGTATAATAGATAATGTGAAATAGGAAGAAAAGGTCTAAAGGAAGGGGTAGGGAAAGTGGGAGAAGTAGGGGAAAGGAAAGAACGGAAAGGGAAAAATATGAGAAAAAGAAAAAATGGAAACAAAGTCTTTGTAAATAGGGAGGGGTGGAGGGGTTGAAAGGAGGGCAGGGGAAGGGGGAGAAAGTAAGAACCAAGATGCATCATGTAAAGGTACAAGTTCCCAATGATAAATGTAATTGTATTGTATACCTAAAATGTACCAATAAACTTAATTAAAAAAAAAGTTGGGCGTGATGGTGCATGCCTGTAACCCTAGCACTCACAAAGCTGAGGCAGGAGGAGCACCATGAGTTCGAGGCCAGCCTTGGCTACATGATGAGTTCAAGGCAATCCTGAACTATACAGAGAGACCCTATCTCAAAACAAACAAAAAGGATATGGATAAACATAAATAAATAACAACATTTAATTTTCCAAAGGGTTGAAGATGGTATCTATATTTTTCTTTGCATATTTAGCCATATTTCCTTAATTTTCTATGAATATATCACCTCTGTATACTATTATCATATTACTGATATTGGGATGTGTTGCAGGCTCCCTAAGTGACCCTTGGGTCACTAAGTGCTTGATATGGCATGAGGGTCAAGAAAATGGTCTAGAGGGCCGGGGATTTAGCTCAGTGGTTCCGCCGCCTGCTGTGCAAGCGCAAGGACCCAAGTTCGATCCCCAGTACCAAAAAAACAAAAAAACAAAAAAACAAAAAAAAGAAAATGGTCTAGAATCTTACTTGTTGTCTGAGTTTGATCCTCAGTTTTGCCACTTATTAGCTATGGAACCTTGGGCAAATTTCTTTGACCTGTGTGCCTTGATTGTCTCATATGTAAAATGGACATATAATAAACACCTACTTACAATTCAAGGTTGCTGTGGTGATTAAAGGAATTCATATATGAAAAATGTGTCAATATCTGGCACAGAGTAGGTACTATGTGTTCAATAAAATTATTCAATCCTTACAGAAACCCAGCAAAGTAGGTTTAGTACCATCTTAATTTAAAAGCTGATGAAGTTGGGCTAATTTGCTCAGAGATGCAAGCTTGCAAGGGACAAAACTAGAATTTAAATATGTTCATGTTCTTAACTGCCCTCCAACACACCTCTGCATCATTAAATAAAATACTTAAAAGGAGACTCTAAATAGCCAAATATATAATTATCAAAGATTAAATTACCTGATTCAAAAGTTTTATTTTCAAGAAAAAAGTAAGAAAAATCCCATAAAACATTTATTTCTATAATGAAGGAAAAATGCATCACAGCCATTAGATCACAATAATACAAGTTCTAAGTAGCACCAATAATTTAGCATCAAAAAATTTAAAATTCTTTGGAAGCAAGTTGAGTCAGCACTATTGCAAGAAACTACAAACTGGTGTAGCCACTGATCACATGTTTGTTTTAATTTTTATTTGACTTTATTTTTTGAAGAGACAGGAGACATATTTAGATGGTCCAAAATTTAAAAGTGACAGAAGGATCTATACTTCCTATCCTCTGCAGGCAAGCAGTGATACCAGTTTCCTGGGTGTCTCTGCAAAGATATTCTAGGCACATATATGCAAATGGGCACATCAATCCTCTTCACGGCAGCTTTTTGTTTTCTCCATAAATGGTAACATACATACCTTGTTCTGATCTTGCTTTTAGTACCTATGAATATATTCTGGAGATCAATCCACATCTTTATATGAAGAAAGAAGAAGTTAAGAATATGCTACCCTTAAATATGCTGCTCTGGCACACTGACTATTTCAGGTTAAAAGAACTTGAAAAACAGCAGGTGAAACAAGATCACCCTGACTTTCATGCTGTTTCTTAATAACAGGAGTTGAAATTCCCAGGTTAAAGACTCCCTTCCTATACCAGAAGGAAAATAACATTGTTACTGTCAAGCATGGGAAGTTGAGGCCCAACAAGTTCTGTACAGATCTCATTAAAATCATACTTACTGGGCTGGGGATGTAGCTCAGCATCACAAAATATTTTTTTAATTAAAAAAACCCCTTTTCTAGCTTCCCTGTATGATTTAGTTTTTCACAATTTATTATTCTTTACCCAATTCAGTACACATCTAAGTATTCAACTTATATAAGGGCTCATGTGTAACACAAAACTTACATTAAATATGTGTACATGATTTTCTATTATTGATCTATCTTACCTGTGAATTTAATTCTTGGGCCTGGAGTAAAGATAAACGAGGAGCTCAGTAATTATTAACAGCTTGTAGGTCACTTTAGGAGGTACCACAAGCTAACAGGACCCAGACCAGTGTTTTTCAGTACTGAGGGTTGAGTGCCCCAGCCAGGGGCATACTACCACTGTATCCCCAGCCCTTTTTATTTTTTATTTCGAGACAAGGTCTCACTAAGTTGTTCGGGAAGGACTCAACTTGCAGTCCTCATCCCTCAACCTGCCTCAGTACTGGGATTACGGGTGTGCGGTACCATACCTAGTTCAGATCAATCTTTTGCTGCTTTAAATAATGCTGCATGGAACAATGACAAACAATGATTGTTTTAAAAAAAGATCAACTTATCATAACAATACTGTCTTTATTAGCAAAATTTCAAGAATTTCTGGAACTTGTCAATATCCCATCAAAAAATGGTAATACAAATAAGAAATTAGTGTAATTTAAAAACCTGGACCCAGAACTATGAGGTAAAATCATAAAACACTAGGCTTCTTGCTTTCCAAATACATAACAATAAAGAAATATTTTTGCAGGGCCAAGGATTTAGCTCAGTGGTTTCGCCACCTGCTGCACAAGCACAAGGACCTGAGTTCGATCCCCAGTACCAAAAAAAAAAAAAAGAAAAATATTTTTGCAATGACAAGTAATATGTGAAACATTAACTGTTAAACTTTTTTATCTCCCAGTTTGAACAAAAAAACTTT